CTCACACACATATGTGCACACACATGCATGCCACACACACACACACACACACACACACACACACACACACACCCACACATACATCTACTTGCACATCATTGTACCTTTCCAAAGGATATAAATTAAATCCTGTCCAGCAAAACCATGTACCAACTGCCAACCTTAAAGATTTGATTTTCTGACACGATGACGACAAACAAATTCCCCAGTTACTTACAAGCACAAGGCTGGCTGAAGAAGTATCTGTGACAAGAAGGTGATACAGATTCCAGAGCCGCAACCCACTTCCAGACAAATACTGGGACTGAAATGAAGAGAGTCTCAGTAAGTACTACTTGTAACAACGACCTTTATTCTCAGAAATCAAAAAGGTTTATCCTTGACTTAACATTTCTATAGTCAGAACGGAAAGTGTATTAGCCAGTGAGGTAGGTATTAACTTTAATAGGACAGGTGCAAAAGAAAGCAGTTCTATTCTGAAAGGTAAAAGTAACATCACCCTAGCTTTAAGTCCCCTCCTAGGGGTAATCCAGCCCTATAAGAAGAAATCAATCCAATCAGCTAATTAAAAAACCCACCCAAGAGCTACAACATACCAAGTCCAAGGGAATCTCAGAAAAAAAATGGCTATAGATTCCATTTGACACATGGTCTACATCTAGGTTGCAATTTCAAGTTTTCAGCATGCATGAAAACATGTGAATCTATCACAATATATTCTCTATTTTTCTTAGACTCCACTTTGGATTAATAGACCAACCTTAGCTTTTGTAGAAATTCATCCTCTTTTTCTAGGGCATCTAGCAACAGAAAGGAATCTTCAGCAGGCTCATAAACATGGTCAAAATCTGAAGAACATGCATGGCCAGTTACTGGAGTTCGAAACCTGTCATTCATTTCTGACCTGAAACAAAAAAAGAAAATGAAAAAGGCATCAAAACTGTCAACTCCAGCCGCTACTTGCTGCTCAACAGGTCTCCAGGAAAGTTGAAAGGAAAATCTACCGTCAATTGCACCATGTGGGCGTGGACAAAAAGTGTGACAGGAAGGTATTGAAAAACCAGACTTTTCCAAGAGTTTCAAATTTTATTGATTAGTCAAATAAACAGTAAATCAAATAATACATTATTTGCTCGTATGTGCAGCATAAATGAACAAGGATTACAAGGTACACATCAGTATTAGTCTGGTTTTTCACTTTCAACTGAGTGCGGCGATGCTTCCATCATCGTAGTTGTCAGTTTTTGAATGCTGTGCCATACTGAAATTGATTAATATTTTTAAATAATTGATTCTTTCTCCAGTCAAAGCATCTGAGACTACCATCTGTGCAATCCTTGAAATGATTTTGATTTTAGGCGTTGACCCTTAAGTAACATTCACACTGACAGTAAAGACTTCATTTAATGATTTGTTGTCCCAAGTTGCCTTAGGTTATTAAACTAGAGAAGTGAACAATCCCTACCAAGACCAACAATAATATTAATAAATATTGCAGTTGAACCTGCCTCAAAGGAAACCTGTGTAAAACAGAAACCTGTCATCACAATCTCCCCACTTGATAATTTTTTTACGGAACAAAAACCCAGGCGGGCACAGCTGATCTACCAAGAGTAGAAAGTTGGGATAATATTGAACTGTCTGTCACGCAAAGATCAGCCATTCTCGTGAATGTGATCACATAAGAGTGGTAAAACTGGGTGAAACGGTACAATGTTTGCCCTGACGGGATCACACCCAGGTGTGAATTAATCGACACATTTGTTTTCCCCAAACATTGCACTTGCATCAAAAAGCTCTCCACCTAAACTTTTACATCAGGATGACTTCCGTAATGAGCAACCACTATGACACAGAGTAGAATAGAGGGCTGGTCGCTTGTTACGGAAGTCCTTCTATCGGGTTAGGGTTTGGGCTAGGGGATGGGGTAGGGGTAAGGGTAGGGGTAGAGGTAGGGTTAGGGGTTGGGTCAGGGTTAGGGTTAGGTCTCTTCTTTATTGTGTTTGTTGGGGAGGTTGCTCGTTACGGAAGTCTTTCCCTTACATCACGCTCTGGGTGGGTAAGGCCTATTTAGCTCCAGACAGGATCACATCGAACAGTGAACTCTTCCCTGACTATTGCAGCAGTTGTCTCTAGACTCCCAAATTTGGTATGGTCACAACGTGTACATAATGGTGCGTAACAACAAGGATGGGGGAATTTGGTCACAGATGGAAAGCAGTTAAGGCTATAAATTTCGGACAGTTAAAGGGGAGGTGCAACTGGATAAGCATAGATCTTGAGGTCTACGATAGGATAATAGGTGAAAATGACATGCCTCATGCCACTGTGATTGGTCATCAAGGTTGACCAATTTTTGCTCGAACCCACCCAGGGCAAGGGGTCACGTCAGTTCATTTTAGAGTGAAGGGAGACCATTCTAACGGTTGTGTGCCTAACAAAGTGATTATTGGGAGTCGACTCCCTATTATAAATAATCATTTAGCTTTATTAGGAGTCGACTCCCATTTTAATCACTTGACGCTGTTAGGGTCAAAGATTACATCTGACCTAGTCAGGACAAAATGACGGTGGTTTGAGCATTTTTGGGGGTAAGGTTGAGGGTAGGGGTAGGATTCGTGTTGGGTCAGTGTTAGGAGTAGGGTCTCTTCTTTATTGCGTTGTGTTTGTTGAGGGTCAGAGGTCTTAAGGCGTTTTAGGGTAAAGGTAGGGGTAGGGATAGGGGTAGGGTTAGGGGTTGGATTAAGGTTAGGGTTAGGACTCTTCTTTATTGTGTTTGTTGTGGTGGTCACTTGTTACGGAAGTCCCTATTATTTTACTACTATCAGACAGTGCATGGGGGAGTGGGGGGTAATTTCTGTAACTTTTGTGATTTTAAGTAAGTGATTAGTTTGAGCGTGTTTAGAGTAAGTTTTCTTCTTTAAGGGTAAGTCTAGTTTGGTTGGGGGTTGTTTTTTTTTTTTTTTTGGGGGGGGGGGGGCTCCCCCTGATCAGTCGTAGGCTTTCATTTTTTGCAGAGGCGGGGCTTGCCCCCCTGATTAAGGTACGTTTTAGGGTTAGGTTTTTTTCTTCCCTTCAAAACAAGTGCAAAATTAAATCGTTATTTGTTTGTTTCTCTTCATCCCTTAGCCTACCGCAACACGGGGGCACGGAAAAAAACAAAACAAAGGTAGACCGGTACGTGCAGATACGTGTAACCAGAGCTGGACGTAACAGAGTACAAGTACTCCAGTACTTGTACTTACATTACAATTTTCGGTACTTTTACTGTACTCCGATACTTTTTATAAAAGTACTTTTGAGTATTTTTAAAGTATATTTTGAGTACTTTTGAAGCTTAATGAAAGAGTAAGTGAGGGCATTTCTGATAATAATTTACGAAACAAATACCCGGGCGGGCACAGCCGATCAACCAAGAGTTAAAAGTTGAGATCAAAGAACTGCCTGTGGCGTCAAAGGCGGGATCACACCGAGGTGTGAACTGACCGATGCGGTTTTTTCCCTCAAACAGCGCACTCGCATCTGAGCTCGCCACCTGAACTTACTTCACTCGCTGGGTGGGCAGGGCCTACAAGTTCGCTCCAGGCAGGATCACATCGAATTGTGAACTCTTCCCTGCCCATTGAAGTTAAAGGCAGTTTTTCTCTATTTCCGAATTTGCGAGACAGACTGAATTTTAGTTGGTGTGGTCACAGCGTAATGGTACGTAACGACAAAGGCGGGGGGACTCAATCAGAGATGGAAGGCTATAATTTTTGGACAGGTAAAGGGGAGGGGCAACTGGATAAACGTAGATAAAGATCTCGAGACGATATGCTAAAGAGTGTACGGTATAAAATAATATTATGGCATGCCTCATGCCACCATGCTACTGTGATTGGTCATCAAGGTTGATTACTCTTTGCTCGCCATAGATCTATATGTCATAAACCCACCCAGGGGTCACGTCAGTTCATGGGTCACTGTAGATTCTTCCTTGGCTTCGTCGGCTAAGATCCCGCATTTCCCTTGCTCCACTTCGAATCGCAACGCAGCGTTGCAAATAAGGCCACCTCTATTCTCACCCGGAGTGAGAATAGTGCAGGCGAGTCTTGTGGCTATTCTCACCCGGTGCGCGTTCACCAAATTTTGCGTTCACCCTAAACCACAGAATTCTACACTGTGATAACAGAAAAATTGTAGAATTCTGTGCCGTGAACAAACGTTCCATTACAACTGTAGCCTACTAAAAGCGTACAATTTTGTCTGTGGGCAGTGGAGAGAGAGAGAGAAAGAGAGAGAGGAGTAGCGCGAGAATTTCTGGGAAAAACAAAATGGCGACCCGCGTAGTTCGGCTCGATTCGAAAAGTTAAATAGCCGTAGCATCTTTGTAGACAACCAAATTAATTAACTTTTGAGTTTTAACATTATTTTTTAACTTTGTTTTGGTCAATTTGATCGTCCACACCGATAGACAGTATTCAGAAAGAGACAGAGAAGAGGGGAGGAGTTGATCTTGCGAGAACTTCCAGGCGGGTGAGAATAGCCACTTTCTGCAAATAATGGACACTTCCAATATTTTTCTATCTTTTTAGCATTAAAAATTTATTTCGGCCAAATTGAACTTTGGTGGACCCACCGTGTTTACGTGTGTATTAATGCGCACTAGGCACTAGCCATAACAGAGGGGGGATTTCAGGGGGGCTTAGAGGGGAGGGTATGAGGGGGGTTACAACGGTTAGAGGGGTGGGGGCTAGATCTAGAGATTTAGACTGTTTACAGATTCAGGCCACTGACCCTCAGTCTCAGATCAGTGATAATGTCTTTCTTGTTCCCCAAGTACTGTGAAACAGCTAGATATCTATACAATGTCCGAACAGAACCTTCACTACACCACCATAGCCAGCTTGAGACTTCGAGATAGACGTCTAAAATATGAAGTTCATCAGAGTAAGTAGTAAGAAACCGAAACTCAAAGAGAAAGTTTTGTCTGATGCACAATTTGTTTCCGGTTCAAACGTTATAGCTTATAAAACACAAAATCTTTTGTTAATTTGACAACTATAGAGAACAATTATTTACGAAAACGGAATATTCATTTAATATTAGGAATTTAGTGCTGACATAAAAAACATTAAAAAATATGAGTACAATAACAATTCTTCACTAATTTATTTATTTCGAGAAAGATGATTAGATGCTCCAGACACAAACTATAACTGTTGAAAATCCGTTTACTGTTTTCAGCATTGCATTGTGGGCCATTGTAATGCCTGCCGAACCCCATGTATTTGTTTATGTTTTGATACTATGCGATGTGTAGGTGGAAGTGAACATTGTCGTTACTCACAGGTACTATACTGATGTTTCAAAATCAGAATTTTGGAAGTGATGCATTTTGATTTTATTATGACTGATTGTTCAGTCAGTAATAGATCTAGACTTCTATATGTAGTCGAACAATGTTTCTTCTTTTCAATCCCCTTCATTTGTATCGCGGTTGGACTCGAAATCAGAAGTGTAGATCAATCCACAGCACACTCGCACTGGTTCAAGAGTGTCCTTTTGTTGTCTGGATCTAATCTAGAATCTCGATACTTCCACCTCGTCGGCTTGTGTCTGGAATCAAGTCCAGAAGTCACTGCCTATGCAGCAAATGGCTTTACTTTCCTGGGAAATGCTTTTAGCGATACTTTGATCTTGCCCGCCCTAGCCCTAGATTCTATGCCCAGCGTTCACCTTGTGTAACTTATACTTTAGTTTTAGGCCTACTACTACTACTAGAATCTAGATCTAGAATCTAGATTCGGAGTGATTATTCTCAACCGGGGTGAGGATAAGCTGGATATCTGAGAATAAAATTGATACTATTCTTACCCCGGGTGAGAATAACGACAGCTTACTATTCTCACCGTTTTTTTTTCGTTTCGGGCATCATAGGAAGGACCGCTGTCACTGAGCGCTCCAGGCGAACTACGCGGGTCACCCTTTTGTTTTGCCCAGAAGTTCTCGCTAGATCTACTCCTTCTCTCTCTCTCTCTTTCTGAGTACTGTCTGTCGGTGTGAACGATCAAATTGACAAAAACAAAGAAAGAAAAAAAGGAAGTGGCTATTCTCACCCGGGGTGAGAATAGAAGTACGATTGACCTCTAACCCAGGGTGAGACTTGCCACCGTAGGCTATTCTCACCCGGTGTGAAACGACCTGTTTTTACTAATTTTGGAATACTTTCTATTGATGTGGATGATCAAATGGATAAAGGCAAAGAAAAGATTACGTTTATAGCACAAAAGTAAGCTAATTTGATCGTCTACAAAGATGCTATGGCTATTCCACTTTTCGAATCGAGCCGAGCTATGGGGGTCGCCATTTTGTTTTGCCCAGAAGTTCACGCAAGATCTACTCCTCCCCTCTTCTCTCTCTCTATCTCTTTCTGAATACTGTCTATCGGTGTGGACGATCAAATTGACCTAAACAAAGTTTTAAAATGATGAAAAAACACAAAAGTAAATTTATTTGGTCGTCTACAAAGTTGCTACGGCTATTTAACTTTTCGAATCGAGCCGAACTACGCGGGTCGCCATTTTGTTTTGCCCGGAAGTTCTTGCGCTTCTCCTCTCTCTCTCTCTCTTTCTCTCTCTCCACTGCCAACAGACAAAATTGTCCATTTTTAATAGGCTAACAGTAGATCTAGTAATGGAACGTTTGTTCACGGCACAGAATTCTACAATGTTTCTGTTATCACAGTGTAGAATTCTGTGTTTTAGGGTGAACGCAAAATTGGTTGGCCTAGATCTAGGCTATAACGGTGAATGCGCACCGGGTGAGAATAGCCAAAAGACTCGCCTGCACTATTCTCACCCGGGGTGAGAATAGAGGTGGCCAAAAAAAATTATGGGTATAGCATCAAGGTAAATTAATTTGGTTGTTTAAGATGCTACGGCTATTTCACTTTTCGAATCGAGCCAAACTGCGCGGGTCGCTATTTTGTATTGCCCGGAAGTTTTCGCGCTACTCCTCTCTCTCTCTCACTCTCTCTGTTTTCTCACTTCCTCTGTAGTGCCCATGACCATGTAAGTGTTGACCTGTGGTTACCGTGCTTTTTAGATCCTGGTTGCTGATATTCCAGACGATTCTTGAAGTTTGTGTTCGCATCAAGATAGCGACGGAAAATTTTCTTCTCTAAAGTGTTCTCGTTTCACATGTTTTTTTGCTCTCTAACAAATGTCTGTCGTCTCCTTTTGTCTACAGTTTCTGCCCCTGCCCTCCATACCCCTCACCTCCTTTGCCCCCTCCTGTGGGCTCCTGACCCTTTCTTATTCTACTGCTACTCCTTGGCTCTTTCTTACTGTGTCTTTCAGTCACACCCCTGATCTTATGGTGAGAAAAATCTACACCTGGCTGTCTCGGATATAAGGGGGGGGGGGGGAATTTTGGAGGTCTCGTGTGCAAGTTGCCCATACAGATCCCTTAGTGGTCCAAAATTGAGTAGAGTAGGCTTCGGCAGCCACCCAGGGAAAATTCAAAATTTCCTAGCAACTGAAAATGTTTAATTTGTCCGTGCACTCATATGACCATATATATATGCAGTTGGGAGCGCTGTAAAACACCTTTTAAAAGAACACAAAAAAACCCATCCAACTCAGATTAATTGTTGTAGTTTGGTAACAACTTCGTCATATGATAATTAAAAATCCACCCCATCAAAATAACCAAGCTCACAAGGACAACTAATGGAAGATTAAACTGGTGTTCTAACTTGGTGAGATGGTTAATAGACAAAAATGTACTGTGCCTGTTGACTGTTGTGCTTGGTGAAGAAACATTGCTGTCTGAAAGATTTAATATGATACTTTTTTTCACTGTACTCTACATGTAACTACATCTAATTGTTTGATCATACGGAAACAAATAATACTGAGCTAGAATTATCCAGGTGTTTTTTGTTTTAATTCTTTTCTATTTACAGTTAACTTTGAGGAACTAAAGAAAAGTGATCTTTTTTATTTTCGCTGTAAAGTAACCCATCCATGGTCTAGTTCAAAACCCACAGTATTCCATTTAACATACATGCATGACTTTGAGCTGTATTGTTAAGTACTTTCCATTGCACCATTTCCTCAGGGATAGTCACTTTGCTCTGTGGAGTGGTCCTGATCTTCGGCTTAGATCACTTTTTTTCAGTGTTCCTGTTGTATTCCTTTTCTGTTCCTAGTAGATGGTTGGTAGGTGCCCTGATATATGCTGCCTGTTCAAATTTCTATTCACTGTTACTATTGATAACAGTTTTTAAAAAAATGTAAATTGTAAGTTTATTCTATGAAATATGGTTATTGTCTTGCTTGCCTGCCATTTTTACTCTTACTCTCAAACAAAATTATAGTCTCCTGTGGGTTTCAAATTTGTGATTTTTGTTCCTCTTCAGGTTTTAAATGCCATTTGCATCCGATGTCCGAGGCTGCTTCTGTTGTGGACCGAGCCAATCCTTTCCTCGCAATAGCCATCTCGCCATGCAAGGCCCACCATTCAGTCTCAATCTGACAGCCAGTGGACCAGGCCCAGTTCTGTCTCATTCCATGGCCCCGGCTAATGATCCCATGGCCCTGGGTCCTGTATTTGAACAAATCGACATCAGCGGTGCTGCCTCAAATGCCATGTTATCTTCCCTAGATATTCCACAGACGGACAATGCCCTCAGCTCTGTTGTGCGCCCCAGTCAAGAAATGTGTGAACATGAAGATGATGAACAGGTCTTCGTGTCACCCTCCGGGCCTCAAATAGAACAGGTGGCGATCGGGAACAATCTGGGTCAGTTCAGTTTCAGATTTTTACAAGACAGGCAGCTCGGGTGTAAAGTTCCTAGTGGCAATGGAGTGCCCGGCGACATAAAACCATTACTGTCGTCGTCTGCTCCTGGTGAGACGATATTGTCTCGTAACTTTGACAGGCGCCTAGGTCGTGGTAACGGGGCGGGAGAGTGTTCATCTGAGGGTGGCGATATGGATCTAGACAGCGCCTTGGACGAACTTGGGATGTTGAGTACGATAACCAATAGTAGAAAACAATATTTGCTCGAAACTCGAAGCCAAGCTTCCATAAAGAAACGGGAGCAGAGGCTGCGCACAAAAAGCGAGAGCTCTCCCAACTTATCAAATCTGGGTCGTCCCAACGGGTACTGCATTCTTCAGGTGGACACTACTTATGTCACAGGAATGTCGTCCACACCAAGTCCAGCCGGCCTAGTTTCCTCTGTCCATAATTCTACAGATGGAATGCCAATAAAGTCGCATCCTTTCCGTGCTGATTGCTGGAGGGATCCTGAAGTTCTGGAAAATTCGGCAGCTGCAAGACGCCGCCGATCTGTGCCACGTATGTCCCGCATGCGGAAAGATCGATATCGACGGTCTCGCTGCCCTTACAAGATTCCGAATCGTCTGTGCAGTTCCATGCAGGAGTCCGACTTTGGTCCTGACTATTTTGACTCATGCACTAGCCCTTTCTCTTCCCCCTCCATCCCTTCTGAGCCTGGCGTGGATGCTCTGTCACACAGACTGGCAGACGCACAGCTGGGGAGTCAGTCCAAGTCCAACACCGCCTCGCCTGTGAAGCCTGTACAGGAAGTGCGTCTGGTCCGCTCGATCTCTGCAGAGAACCTGCTTCCTGTCCGTCGACGTCTGGAAAGAGACCTAGACTTACAGCGGCAGGAGTCCTCGAGAGCAGATGAGAGTCTTGACGTGATGGCCTCGCAGCTGACCAATCTCCACATGTCCTGAGAGTTGCCTCAGGTCTCTTGATCTCACAGATGTAGTGGGGTTTTTTTTCTTTTTAATATTTTACCATTTTACCCGTTGCTGTCCAGTGTGTTGGATCTTTATTGATCATTTTGAGTTGAATTGTTTGGGTTTTTCATGAAAAATTGTGTGCACGATGTGACTTGACAAAAACAAAATGAAAATTCTTCTTTCTTTTGAAAAAGCTATGTTGATTTAGGTCTTGCTTTTTCCGAGCACTGAATGACAGTTATTGTCTCCAGGTGCTACTCTTTAACTTGAAACGACACTGTGGGAAGAAAAGTTAACCTTTTAATAAACAAAGCCACCTTGTCAGCACACTATATAGTCTGCTAGCTTGTGGAGTTATGTGTAGCTGTTTTCATAGATAACCTCTATCAGGGTTTTATTTTTTTATATAGTGCAGAAACTTTTCTGTGGATACATTCCAAAAAACTGTAGAAAAAGAGGATTACTGTGTCGAAACTCCTTTACAACATTCTGTCCTGTTCAAGTGGCAATATGAAAAATTTGTACTTGAAAATTAATTACACTTGTTTAGTTTCGTCTTACTTGTTTTTCCTTAGTCTGCTGAGAGTAGGTTAAAATTAGATCTTCAAACAGCTCTGTTGTTAACAACTGTTAATGTTGCTGACTATTCTTTGATAGGCCTGACACATGAGCTAAAATGATAAAAAGTTTACTTTCAAATATGTGATACTAATTATGAATAATGAATTTAGCCCGCATTTTATTACATTTGATATATTATAGTGGTTGTTCATCCAGTTGTTCGACTTGCGTTCATTTAGGTTCCTGTCTTTAGAAGACTTAGGTATAAGTTTAAGTTCTGATCAAAGATTTGGAATGGTTTTTTTGTGATATTGTTTTTCTACCTTTGTAATAAATGCTTTTCATCATACACGCTGTTCATATATATGGTTGTGTTCTTGAAACACACTTGATAGTTCTCCCAATTATATAGTAGTCAATAATTTAATTACTCAATCAAATATTGCATATATGTACATATATATCTCAATAATGGTCGAAATTCCTACTTCTAGAGCAGTGAAAGTTTCTCTTCACTGTTGATTTGACATTACACTCATTTGTCTTAACAATGTTCATGTTTCTGTCATACATCTTTTATTGCATTCTCTCATCTGTCTGTGGTTATTGAATGTCCTTGGGCAAAAAAAAAAGGGTAAATTTGACAAGAATGGAAAATAAGCGCCTAGTTTATCCTTGAGACTTGTGTTCACATTCAAGTAGTTAATAGTTACCAGTATTTGGGTCATATATTCTGAGAGAAAATTGGGCTTGAATTCTGTTGAGAGTTGAATTGTTTATTGTTGTTGTTGTTTTTTTAAGATTAATTTTGTGGTTATTTGGATTTTTTTTCTGATAGTTCCAGTTAATCTCTGAGTACACACAATGTTGAGCATATCTTAGAATTTAAAGTTTGGATTAAGTTATTTATGCCTTGGGAATAACGATTCTGTGTTTCATTCTCAAGCTGTTTTTTTCTGCCTCTGTCTCTGCCTCTATGTTTATTTTCAATGGGCTTAGACATTGGAGGAATGTTTTTGTCTCTTTTTTTTGTTTTAAAGTCATGATTTATGTTACTTGAGTTCTAGTTGTCAGACGAGGATGTATCATATTTGCTCTCCCTCAAGGATATTCTTAGTAATTTTACTTTCCTCCCCCAATTGCTCTTTCCCCCCCCAATTGCTCTTTCCCCACTATGTGTCATGCGGTAGTGCCATTCAACGTAACCAATGATAGTACATAACAAGATGGGCCACTTCTCTCTTTGAGCCAATTAAAAAAGTGTCCTCAAAATTTGGTGGCGCCCTCTTCACAAAAGCGCACTCTTTGCGAACAGAGTTACCCTACTTGAGTTTTAAAAAATCAAAGTAAAACTAGCAAGTTTTGGGATAAATTTCGGAAGAACGCTTTTTAAAAATGGTTACGCTGACAAAAAACCTCTTCCGGAGGAAAGGGTGATGGTTTTCTTCGTTTAATTTGACTTTAGAATGAAAGGCGAGAGGTCATTAAAATTTTAAAAAACTAAAACTCCGCACTGAACGTACCTGAACTGCTGATGAACAGCAGTCGATCTGCACACGCAAGGAGGTGCTATTCCTATTCTTCTTCTGGAAAATTGAATGAGAGCTTCAAAACAGACTGCAGCGCCATCTGAAGCAAAGAGCATACTTCCTGCGGACACTTTTTTGGCTGAGTGGCCCATCTTGTTATTCACTATCTTTGACGTAACTTAAGAATAGGAGCCAGTAGAGAGTGAGACTGAGAGACATGTGTGTTCTAATCTAATGTTCTGACTTCATGCTTGATTGACACAAGGTTTGCCGGACAGAATAAATAGCTCAGGGCCATTTTATAACTCATCATCATTTAATTCCAGAGCAAATAATTGAAAAAAGAATTACATGCATGTTTTTGTTTTTGTTCTTTCTTTGTCTTTTGCAGTGCTCGTTTTGTTGTTGATAGAAAGTAACGTTCACATGATATTATTGATTTATACATGAACATAGATTTTTGTGAATCAGGGATAATGTTTGCGGACTCAGTTCTTCTTGAATTGTTGGCACAAAAGTTGTGGTGTTTTGTTTTGGGTTTGACTTGAGTTTGGTTGTTTGTTGGGTTTTTTTTTGTGTGTTTCAACTGTTAAAGATATCGAACTGATTCAGTTGATTTTAGAAGATTGGGATAAAAAGTTTCTTAGCTTTTATGATAGTTTGATGAAGTGTGGTCTGGATGTATGTGCATATACATATGTGTTTGCACATTCTTGACAAACAAATAGTGTATTCTTTCCTCATGGACAAATAGTAGGTTCTTTTTCTTCAAACATTGCATTCTTTCTTTTCAAACAGTTAAGTGTTTGTGGTTCTTTATTTCTATTAAATTTATCCAAGTTTCTGTTGTGGTACAGCACTCCGCTTCCTGGTGTAACCCTGTCAAGCTGACATTCTTCTTCTGTTGACTACAGATTGAGGACCAATTACAATTCTCTCCTATCTAAAAGTAACCATTTCTTTGGTCCAGTCGCAAATATGTTTTGAATTGGTTTGTAGTAGCCCCCCCCCCCCCCCCCCCCCCCCTATAATGGTGTTAACGCGTATCCTGTTTAGTCCTATCTTTCGCAGTGCAATTGCACAAAAGTTCCCAAGTTGTATGTAGCCAGTGTCAGAAGTGTTGGAACCGGTTGTGTGTTCTACATCAGTCTCTCAGTTGTTCAGATGTTTATCCACTCATAGTGAAATCTCTGGTTCATTCGATTATCGATGCAATAGCTTTTTACTGCTTTGGGTCACTTTTTTATAATGAAGCTGTATATAAATTCCATGCTGAAAGACTACATGTTAAAGTGCACGATTTGTGGAATTTTTGCTGCATAACGGGTTGATTATTGTAGGGGGGGGGGGCGGCTGTTAAATGGAATGGTTGACCTTTACGAACTAAATTTACATGCGAATGTGGAATCTTTGTTTTCTGAGTAATCCCCGGTCATACTCATTGTTCCCACCCTCAAATTATTCAGTTTGGAGAAGATCAGATGATGGCTGGGAAATATTATGGAATACTTCTATAGAGAATTTTTCAAATTTGACCGTTGTTAAAATAAGTTTAATGAGTTTGATTTTGCACCATACGTGCTGTTGTTGTAAGAGTTGCTTGAGATAGTTTGTTTATCTGGTGGAATTATTTTGTAAATTTGTTGATTCTTTTGTTCACTTTTGTATGTAATATATTGTTGTATTGTCCTCTTAAGCCTCACATTGTTATGTTTCAATGTTAAGACAGGAAAGGGAAATAAAACCATTCATAACTAAACGTTCAGTTTGGGAACCAACAATTTTTGTCCCCACTTTGTATTAGAAGATGTTCTTTTTCTCAACTTCAACATTTTAAGGTTTCCCTGAGATAGGTTAACATTGTATTTCTCTTTTACTCTTTGATAAATTCCAATATAATCATTAAAAAAATTCATCCCGGACATGTAAAAAATCCCTCAAAATTGTTAGGTTTATAAAGTTCATGGGTTTTGATTTTATTCATTTGTGTGTATGGGGAGGGGGATTGGGGGGGGACTTTTACTCTAAGAGGTCAGTCTGTAAAACATTGTGCCTGACCTTTGTCAAAAGCTTATAATTTTGTGGTGTTTTCTCAACCCTTGGTGACGTGTTGACCATGAATCAATCCTTGAATTTTATCTTCAGACGAATTACAGGTTGTTTTTCAGGTTGTGATCATGGACATTTTTGTGTTGAATACCATGTATTTTGTGTCTGTTTGAGCTTTGCTAAAGATCCCTCTGAGATGTTGTTGATCCAGTCATTTGAGCTTCCATATGGTTTATTCCTCTCAAAGTTTTGTTTGTTATTTTCTCCACCCTCAACAGTTGGTTATATGAATCTCTTATAATGCCTATATTTTTTGGCAGTAGAAGGATGTCAGTATGAAGATTGAGTGTTCAGAAAAGCTGATTTTAAGTGGTGAGAGCTGTTATGATTAAATTTACCCTTTAGAAATATGCTTGTCTAGTATTTGTCAGGATTTAATTGTAAAAACTGAGAGATGGAAAGTGATTTGTTAAAGAGTCAAGTTAATACTGTTAAATGAACAGATATTTATGTGGGCAAATGATTGCTTGACTTGAGATGAGGCCGTAAAAGGCCAGATTGTGAGTAGAAAAATGATTATTTGTAAAGTGCCAAGGCTGCTGTTGTAAAGATTTTGTGTGTTGACAATCATTTGTCATTTGGAGAAAGAAAAGGCTGTATAAAACATTGTTCAAGTTGAACATTGGTCAATTCTACCCTTGGTGATAAAGGATTTGCACGTAGGTGTGCGGAAGAAAACACAGTGATGTTTGTCATTCCTTTACTTTGGGTACACCATACCCCCAATTGGAAATTGACATCAGTGACTCTTTGTTTCATTTTAACTAGGATGTTTGGACAAAAATAAAAGATACAGTCAGACCCTGTTATACCGCCCTCCTTAGGACAAGCATGGAATTGGCTGTACGAGGCTTTCATAGCCTCTGCTAAATAGATGTGGCACCAACTGCCCGACAACACGAGAATTTGTGTACCAATTACTAGATGAATTAACGAGTTATCACCCTTTGATCTGTCACTTTAGCGTGAGTCATAACTAAATAAAACCCCTAAGGGCATTCACATCCTTGTAAGTAATTGGGCTATCTGGCGACACCCAATATTTTGCTTGGGGGGGGGGGGGATGGCAAGCAGGCGACTTGAAAATTAAATTAAATTTTTTTTTTTTACTTGACCAAAGCATAAAAATAATGGCATTTTCATAATCAGCACATCAAATTTAGTAAGATTTTTGAAAAACTTGACCAAGGCCTAAAAATGATGGCCTTTTCTCACTTTTCTTAATCAGCGCGTCAAATTTAGTCGGATTCACGAGGGGGGAAAAAATTTGATGCTGAGTTATACAGTTGTGTTTTATTCTAATTGTATGCTTCTACGTTACACATTGTATCGTGTTCACTTGCGATACACTACATCACTAGATCTATCCATATTGCCTGAAATCTACAATACAAAGGTGGGGGGAAGTGGGGTGGGATGGGCGAGGATGGAGCAAATTGACGAAAAGCCCTTGATGTAGATCCAAGCATAGCTCATAGAGACTTATGCGTGAAAGATTGTCAAGCGACCACTGAGTAGATGTGCTGTGTGGAGCCTAGTGTGTACTGTGTGGAGCCCACTTCTGGCAGCAGGTTCGCTGGCAGTACAACGGGGTAAATTTATTGGACCGTACACCTGAGGCAGTTGGCGGATGGCGATGTAAAGGCGCAAATACAGTGTTTATATAATATAGGAGATTCGTTTTGTACATTGGCAAATCCTGACAGTAAGTAGGGCTGGCGGTACAACAAGGTTTGACTGTATATATGCTTTATGTTTCTCTATGCCCGTCCAGCGTCACTGTTTTTCAACTTTCTCCGTAAGGAGTTTATCAAATGTTCTCTCCCCTGCCTGTGTTATATTTCTCCCCCTCCGTAGACTCCTTAGCTAATGGGAAATAGTAATTTCTCATAATGTTTTACATTTCTTCTATGTCTTTTTTCATATTCATAATCCATTCATTTAGCTACCTTGATGCTTCTTCTTTTTCTTCTCGATTGCAT